ATCCCTAACGTTCTGTGATTCTGTGAAGCTTCTGCAGACATAAACCAGAGCTCTTGCCTCACCTGTAGCTATTGCCCAGGATTTAGTCTCTCTCTTGTCACACAGAGGCTTTTTTTTGGTGTGCCTTTTCTTTCAAAGGAGTAGGGCTCTTAACCTGTGTCCTGGCACAAGTTCTATTTGCATGCAGGGTATTTAGCACTTTCTGTCCCCAGCATTGTTGTCACACAGCTTAGAGCAAGTCATAGCAGCCAGATCCTAACGGTTTTCAACAGTGTTTGCAAAGTACCACAGTATGCAAGGTGCAGCATCTAGTGGGGACTTAAGAGAAAATAGCTTCAATGTATTTAAGGTGATATTTCTAAACTAATTAGAAAATCATTGTTATTACTACTTATCTACGGGAAAAGAAGAATCTTTTAACAGTTTGAAAAGTTTTCAAAATGTGTTTCAGTTCAAATAAGAAAGCTTAACCTGGCCCTTGTTCTGTTCAAAGGAATCATGTTCCCATTGCAGCCTATGCACACAACACGATGTTGCTTCTCTTTCCACGTACCTCCACAGCTCTGGTAGCTCCCGAGGTGCTGGACCGGACCTGGAACAGCCGCGTTTCTGCAGGTGCTGTCTGGCCTCCTTCCCTAGAGGTCCCACCCTTGTAAACAACCAAGGGCTTTCCACCAAACATACTCATCAGATGAGGTGGCTCTTTTCCTTGCACTACTCGTTTCTAGAGAAAAAAAACTTGCCATCAGTTTTATGCTACTGCGAAGAAGTAGCACAAGATATTGTAGAAGTGGCCTTTGCAATCATCTTTTCCGCTGGAATCTTCATATAGGACCAAGCTGGTCACGGGAGCTTAGCTATTACCTCCCACACAGCAACACCCCAGTGTCTAAACTGAGCTCCCACAATTGCATTTAATTTTAATTGACAAGTGATCCACCAGCACACAGGTAACAAGTAACAGCGGTAAAAATCCTCCTGTCTCATACAGGCCATTTATAAAACTTTTTTGTATAATCTAGCTGGAGCATAGGCACACGGCCTCTCCAGAACACCTGCACCGTGGCTGGAGGCTGCCACTACATGACTGGGTTTCTCCACTGCCAACTGGTATCATATAAATATATATACATACACACACACACACAGAAACACACACACACACACACACACACACACCTTATTTATTCCCAGAGTGCTGGGACTGTTTTGTTGTGTTTGGCCTTTTTACCTGCACAGGGCTGCCTCCCAGCTCCTCATCCAGCTGTACTGTGAGGAACGCAGAGGCTGCAATTTCATCTTGAGTGGAATCAGCACCCTGCCTGAAACACAAGGCAAAATCCCAGATTTATTTTAGCCCTTTCCCCCCACAGATACACACTTTACAGAGATAAAGAAAAGGTAAAGAAAACCTTTGTTACCAAACCTCTGCAGCACTTTATTCAACATGAAAGAGAAATTCATCATCCTATATTGTAACACAGTGATTACAGAGGGAGACAGGAACACTTTCCAGATAATAAGCAGAGATTCTTTAGTATCTTCACGCCTATCTCCCATTATCTTTCTAGCTGCTACTTTAAAAACATGCCTGTTGGCACTGTTATCAGGAACTTCACACACAGCCCCTGTACAGACCACATCAAGTTAGACACCCTGCCTGTGCCCCCTCTGCTTGCTGATGAACCAGGAAGACGACCACTGTGAGACTGAAAAAAAACTCACAGGGAAGATGGTCCAGGGTGAAATTTTATCCCCCAACGATCCTCTCCAAGTGGGAACCAGCAGTGATCCATTTCTGAAGAAGTGGACTCTCAGCCCCACACAGCCCCAGTGTTTCCTGACTTGCATCAGGAAAGCTTTCTTACCAAGTATAAATAATCTGTCCCTGTTTTCCAGCATGCTGGTAATCGTACAAGATAATGTAGCTGTCCCCTCCATAGAACTGGCCATAAGTCGATGGATTCACTGGCACTTTCTCTGAGCCTTCTATTCTCCAAATCTAGAAAAGGAGAGGAGCAGAAATATTCCGAGTTCAACATGACAGCAGAATAAGCAGACTTTTTTTCCCCCAAATTCAGCCTTTCAGAACTGAAAGGTTCTGCAGTCCTGCAGCTCCACCTGCTGGGAAATGCGGCCGGAATCTGGCATTGCACAGCCTGCGGCTGGGCCTGGAAGCAGGGCACAAGAAGCTCACCCTATTCCGAGCTCCCAAACCTTCACTGGATTCAACCAGAACCACTGGAAAAAATGTGAGTCACACTACTCACACTGCCAGCACTGAAGCCCATTTATTATCTGACACGATCATTTCAATTTCTCTCGGTTAGGGGGTCAGGAATAGAGCTTTTAGGCTTTACTGGGGACTTCTGAAAAGTCTAACTCAGCCCTTTCAAGCCCACCTCCACCACTGCTCTCTAGACCCTGCTGGTATTTCTAGTGTTAAAAATTCCCCCAGCATTTACGTAACTGCAGTGCTGATGATTCTCAGGCCTCCGTTTACCAGCAAGTAGCAAAGAAAATTCTGGAAACCTTCCCAAAGGGACTCTGACACCGCTCACCTGTTTCCTGCCAGAGCCATCATCCTCCATTCCATGCTGGGCAGCCATGGCCTTGGAGGTGTGCAGAGTGGCAGCATCGAAAGGTACCTTCTCGATCTTGGCAACATGACCAGAAACGTAAGCCTGCCCCAGTCCTTCCGTCTGGTCCCTGTCCCGCCAGTTCTTGAAGAACTGCTTAAACAAAGGTGTCTCGCCGCTCTCGGGGAGGACTTGGACCTGAAACAAATGAGCCAGCCCATCAGGAGCAGCCTTGTTCCCATCCCACAGCTCCAGCTCTGGCAGCTCCTTGCTTCATGGTAGCCTTGGTTTTATGCTGCCAGAGAGTTGCCTGGTACAACTCTTGTGAGACCATAGCAGTGAAATGCTTGGCGTCAAGATGTGGGATTAAGAGCAGTGTCAGGTCTTGCTGACACCATCATCAGAGACACAGCAGTCAATAGCATCTCCAGGTACTGCCATACTGGGCACATCTTTTCCAGGAGAAGACACATGACAAACTACCTGTTTGCTGCTTGTATTTCTTTCAAGCCAGTGTTACTCAATGTTTAAGCCTCTGTGTAACTACACCTGCTATTTTAAGGACAGTGTTAGTCTAGGGACAACAGTGCTGTATTTCCCTGTAGAAGGGCAAATCACCCAAAACAGGAGCTACTTAACTGCTGGTGGCCCTTCACATGAGCCGTGCTCTGGAGTTTGTGGGCTGTGTGGCAGAAAAGTAACCCCAGTGGTGTCTGGGGGTTGCACATCCTTACCTGGGTATGTTTTGGATAACCCATCTTCTCAATAAACTCAGAAGCTGTTTTCAGTGCTGCCTTCTTCTCTTCAGAGTTGGCACTCCTGCCTTTAATTAAAATAGAGAGCAAAGAGATCAATTTTTTAAAAGTTCTGCACACTCAGAGAAAAAATTGTCCCAGGCACTTCTACTTTTCGCAGCATTAAAAAGGCCCAGCCTTCCAGCCAGATGATGCCAAACAGCAAATGACATCTCTTGTTCCATCTCTTTTACACCTTTTGTGATGGCTGAGAGAGCCTTTCTACTCATCATATCAAGTAAATTTTTTCTTCCTGGTTCCCAGGACCCTCCCTGTAATTTTCTGCACTAAAGGCCCTGTACCTCAGCACTGGACATTTCAGATGAGAGTGCTTTTCTGTGATTGTTAATGCTCTCTGAACTTGCCCTGAAAAGCACTACCACCATCAAGTGTACACTCCCCTGCCCGGTTTGAAGGAAACAGGGACTGGTAACTGGATGAAGAACCTGTGCAGGTATTACCAGCTTCACCCAGATCTCTACGGTACCTTTCCAAACAAAGATCTTCCCATCTGTGCCATGGTCCAGAATGAAGCAGTCATCCGTACTCAGGGCTGCCTGGGAGAAGGGGTTCTCATCTGCCACCAAGGAAACTGCCATGTTCCCAGCCCCATTGGAGACCTGTGATAACACAGCATGGAGATTAGATAAGGCATTGTCTGTTCCTCTCCAGCTTCATGGCAATAGTTCAAAACTCAGGGAGTGGAAAGGAAATAAATTTGAATGCATTGGCTGGTTCAGGCACTATTGTTTTGCAAACAGGATAACTTTGACACAGCAACAGTATGACAAAAATATAACACTTACTCTGAAGATTTTGAGTACTTCTAGCAAAGCAGATACTGCTGGGACCAAAGAAAGATTGATAAAAAATGGAAAATAACCTTGGTGCACAGGCAGCCAAGAAATATCTTCTAAAGCAAACCAAGTGCACTCAAAAACTGGAGAGGACAGTCTTGGTAACTGTGAATAGGCCTCCCTGTGTCATGTGGGTTTAATAGCCTGAGTTCCTGTGCTTACTAATGGATCAAGGTCCACATCACAGACCATCGTGGCAGATATTTCCCCACATCATTAGGGAGATTGTTGTAGAGAGGATTCCTCCCAAAAAGTCTTGGACATTCTTCTATGTTTATACTAGCTGATGGCAAATGTTACCTTCCAAATCATCGCTTCATCATGCTCACTGGATGTAGAAAGGGTAGATTCTGGTTCTCAGGCTCACTACTTCTAGTTCTTTCCTGTCATCTTCCTAATACAATGCCTGACAACACAAATGAAATCTCCCCTTTTTCCCCCCCCATTTGTTTCATGCTCCGCCTCTTCTTCAAAAATTCCTGGAAAGTCCCAGCTGTCTCACTACAATCAAAGTGGTGATAAAGACAACAGAAAGCATGTGGGCACGTAGTGTGAGCAAGAAAGGTTCATACATAAAACTTCACAAAAAGCTAAGGACAGAAGTAGGACTCAGGTCAGCTCAGCTCCTCTCTACTAGTCCAGCCCCATCTAACCGTGCAAAGATCACTCCATTCTCCACCGGGTTATTTGTCAGGGTCCACGTGTTTCTTGTTACCTTATAGAGCTTAGCCAGCTTTCTATTGGCTGTATCAGTTTTAGTCTCATCAGAAGCTCCTGCTGGCAAACTGGGCTTTGGTCCCAGGACCTGTGAGAGAGAAAAAACATTAGCAGCGAGCCCAAGAGGATCTCTGTTCATCAGATGCTCCAGCCATAAGTGGAAGAAACTTCTAGACTCACATGTAAAGACACACACTACTGAGCCTATCTACCCATCCCAGCCATTCTTCCACACACTGCCCTTTCCACTCCAGCACAGAGAAATGGACAAAGTGGATAACCTGAAGCATTTCCTCTCGCTCTGCTCCTTCCTCTGAAACATAGACCCTGGCACGACCATTCCGCTCATTGTCCCGAATCCCCTTGGCCAGCACAGTGGCCTTCAGCCGTTCTTGGCGGTTGCTGTCAGAGCCACACCATTGAAAGATGTTCTGGAGGAAAAGAGAAAGACCATGCAGCTGTCAGAGCATAACCACCACCTCTCTAGACAAGATGGCAGCATAGCTGGAACTGAAAGATAAGAGATTGGTTATACAGTGTTTCAGAATGCTCAACACTTGAGATAGCTTCAAAAGAGTGGGGGAAAATAAACCCTTAAGTGAACTAATCGGACTCTCCTGCCCCTGAAAGTCTGCTAAACCTGTGTTTTACACAGTGCTTACACTGCCAAGGTCAAGGATGAAACAGTCTCCCGTGTTGAAGCTCTCCCAGGTCACAGGGACCTCCGTCGCTCGCACTGTTCGCCTGCCTTTGACCTGCAGAAGCCTCTGCACCGTTACTTCATTGGGAACCACATGTCTAAAGCCAGATGCCACGCCACCAGCCTAAGAGAAAACAAAGAAACAATTCACAATTTTGCTCTTGCTTCAGAAAAAAAGGAAAATCCTACTGATTTGCTATCAGTGAGCAATTTTTGCCTCTCACAGGAAAGCGGGTCAGCAGCAGCTTGCAGGGAGCTAGTTTACCCAGGCTGGGCTTCGCTATCTCATGTATCCATCGATACATCCCAGCTATCCATTCCCATAGCATCTAAGGGACACAGATACAGTACAGCTGGAGTTCTCCAAATTTAAAGAAGATCACAATAAGCTGCAGTATTAATAGTGTTTTGACTGATGGGGTGAAGAGTATTTCCATGGGTATTATATGTCTTGCCCACCAAAACTTACCCCAACCTCAGGATTCACCTTCTCTGCTGATAGAGACACACTTGGAATTATTTGCCAATGTAGGCAACAGGACTAACGTAAGCTATCATCAAAAAAGCATAACCAAATGAATGAAAATAACAACAAATGAGTGGGAAATATGCGAAACAGAAAGACTAAGAAAGTCTTAGACATGAGAAAATGTAAGCACTTCACATGCACTTGACCTGATACCACTTTCCTTGTGCCACTGGATTCCTAACAAACATAACAGTTCTTGACTGTATGTTTTTACTTTTCTTATTCCACTTTACTGCAATGGCACGGGAGAGTAACTCCCACTAGTATTTGTCTACTTTACCAAAACATTACATATGCCAGGGAGATGGGCTAAGCACAGAAGAAGACTGGAAAGATCAAAATCTGTTATGTAAGTGGGGAGAAATTAAATCTACTGGGTAGGCATTTCCCATTAACTCCGATCGCCGTTTCTCAAATTCGTTCCAGACATCTTGGGACTGATCTTTCCTTTGCTTCTTGAAGAAAAACAAAACCTCAATGCCTAAAATTTCCTGGGGCTTTGCTTGTGTATTATTAATTCAGCCAAAGCTCTCCCACTGGGATCTGCTGTTCTCTACCCTGTCAGTTCCAACTCATTGAAAACATCTGGTTGAGAATGGCTTTTAAGCAACTGGAAAAAGGGCAATTTTCATTATTCTGAGACTTGGACGGTGGGCACAATTCCATTTATTGCAAACTTGATTCAGTCTGGTAGCAGAAAGACCAAATCATCACCGACCTTGTACTTGATGCCAGATTTGAAGTAACCCAGGAAAGTTGAGGACTCATGGCCCTGCACTTCGCGGTGCTGAATAGCCTTCCCTTGAAGGTAGTCATCCATCTGGACAGTGAATATGGCAGCTGCCCCACGCTCATCTTGCGAGCTTTCATCTCCTGAGAAATGAAAAGGCAACAACTTGGAGAGAATGCAGGGTTTAAACTGTGCAAAAACACCAGGGAGAAAGCAGATTACTGAGAAGTTTAGTTTCCATGAAGGTCTGCAGAATAACCACTTCCAAACTTCTCTAATACTGACTCCAAACAGCAGTGTAAACGGTTAAGTGTTTTTCTGGCAGGCTTACAATACCATCAGAACTGCTGCAGCCCCACTGCTTCCCAGCTGTCCCTGATAGGTGTCATTCACTTTTCTTTTGCCATTTCACCCTGTCCTGGAAGGCAATTTGCTATGGAGCAAATACACAGCTGAATCTCCAGGAAGACATAACCAGGCTTTATGAAGGCTGTAAATACCAGTGGGGAACCAGTTCCACAGCAGATTGGCTCTCTGAAGCAATTTGGTGTGGAAAACAGGTGGCAGATATGACAAGTCACCATGCCAGTATCTTACACTGCTTTAACTATGATATTGTCAGTCTTGGTTTTGCAGGATGCGGAGAAAGCCTTGCCATGTTACTTAGTGACATTTACTGCAGAAGGCCAGTTAGGAGGCCTGAACTTAAGAGGGAAAAATCCCACTTAGAGGATAACACCCAACCTCCATCCTTTGTCAGAAAGGATTTCAACTGCCCCTTTCACCTGAGATCTTGTCTTCTCTGTGGACCTGATAAGAGCCTCTGCAAAACAGGGACTTATCCTATCATCTTGATCAGAAAAAACTATTCCTAGGTACGGAGATGGCTGTACTCACCATTGCAGAGATAATTTCAAATATTTAAAGTCAGTAGCACTACAGGCACCCAAAAGAGCATTCCCACAGTACTGCCAGTTCTGCTTTTTGCTTCCTTGGTTAACCCTTACTGGACAAGGCTGGTGCAGTGAGAGGAGTGGAGTTTGCTTTGGGCTCCTAGCTCAGCAGGGGCGCACCCATCACACCTACCTAACCAGAAGTGCAGGTCGTACTGGAGGTTCCCACTCCGCTGCCTGATGGTGTTCAGCACCAGGTAGGAATCTCCTGTGAAGAAGTCTCCATACAGATTTTTTGGCACCGGTACCAGATCAAACTTCTCGATCCTCCAAATCTGAAGGCCAGGTTCCTTCCCAGCCTTGGAAAACTCAGCGTGTTCGACCATGCTGACAGGCTAGGGGTGAGACAGAGAATGTTGTTCAATATGCACAGTACGAGGAAGCGCTTGTTTAAATTGCATTGCTTCTGATCTCTTAACTATTGTTCCAGGCAACAAGTGGAAAATTTTCTTAAAAACTTTTCTCTTCCACTGAATTTTGAAGGAAAAAAACAACCACCTCCTGATTTTACTCTACGTATTTTCTTTACTAATTTATAGCTTTTCAATGTGGCACATAAGTGAAAGACTAACCCGCTTGCTGACTGTTCTTTTGTAGAATCGCTGCATGACATTCAAGACTGCAGAAAATAAACCCCCTTTTAACTATACATGTAGCACATCTTGCACAAACATTAGTTACAGTTTTCCTAGAACTAATCTGTGTGATCTTACCCAGCTCTTTCTGGAAAATGTTGTGAATATCATCCAAGAGTTAGATAATGAACAGCTTTCTTATATATCTTCTGTTCCGACACGTTACTCCATTACTTCTTACAGGAATTACACAAATATACACAACATCCTGTCCTAAGGACATTGCAATTTTGGTTTAGTACGTGTTTTCTCATACTTACGCAACACATTAACAACATGCAATCCATTCTTTTAACAAACACCTTTCTATAACTGTATTATAAAAGAATTCACTTTGGTAATACTGAAAGGAAATAAAACATTTCTGTTGTATTGGCAAAGGAAGTTTGTCCGTGTATTACAGCATGCCTTCGAGTGGTATCAGACAGCAGAGGAGAAAAAATGAAAATGTTATATTGGAAGCATCCAGCATCTTGACAAAGAGGAGAGTTTGCAGTAGCCAATGGACAGAAGTACAACACGCTCAGCTTTCAAGGCAGAAATAAAGAATGTTACAAACTAGAAAGCAAACAGCAAGTTACCAAAGTGATTCCTAAGCTGAAATCAAGTATTAAAGATGGAAAACAATGAACTTTGTTGTCATGATTCCAGTCAGCCTGACTTACTTTCTTCCAAATTCCCACTATAAAATTGGAGAAACTCCTTACAAAGATTTAAAAGAGTGTGACTCTCCTAAGTAATTGAATTGTGATGTCAATCACTTACCACAGCTGAAAGCACAACAGCTGCTGTAACAACATATCCCAGCCCTGCGACAGACATGGAGCTAACACAGTGCAGCTTCAGAGCCATTGCGCAAAAAACGGTGAGGAAAATAGAATTGAAGTCCTTTTTGCCCATTTCAAACAGCAAATGGGCTTCTCCCTTCTTCTGCAGAAGTTTAGGGAGTCCCAGCTCCCTCCTCCTCTCGATGTTAGTGAGGATGAACCGCAGAAGCCAAACTTTTATCAGGGACAAACACACCCACCCCCTCAGCAGTGCAGGGGCGTTACGTGTTTGTGCAAACAGCCCTCTTGGAAGTCTCCCTCAGCATTCACAGACGCTTAATCCCAGCAGGGAATAACTCAAGACAATATGTTATCCATTACAGCGTTCAAACAAGCCAAATATCGAGTCATAAGGCCAACGACAGAGGAAGAAATTAAGAGACAGCAGCAACAGAGGCAACATTTTGTCAGCTGAAAACTGCAAATAAATGGAAAGTTGATGAGACGCAGAGGAACAGAAAGGCTGTTCCAAATGGCAAAGGCTGCAGAGATTTTGGAGATGAGAAGAACAGAGGAACATTGCAAGGATCCAACTGAATAACCTGAGGATAGAGGGAACGCACCCTCATCAATCTGAACTTGTCAGAGGAGCAAGATGCAAAATTCAGCATGTGCTCTGTGTGTCTTGTGCCTGAATGCAATCTCACACAGCTGCCATCACAGTAATACCCTGCGGATGGGTCTGAGATGGACCAATGCGTTTCAGCCCATGTGTTAGCAAAAGGGCATCAGTAGTCAGGTAGGTGATAGAACAAGAGCTAATTCAGTAATTTCACAACCAAATATTACTGAGGGTACAGCAAGACCCTGCGACAGCAGCCACCAAACCTGTTCAGTTCAGTGAAATTACACCACAGTACGGCTGATCACACCACCCCAGTGACCTGCCACTGCTCAAGAGCTCATTCTTCCAACCGCTTCACACTTCAGAATGCAAACCTATGACATTTCCCAAGTGTCTGCAGTAAGTAACCCACGCAGGGAACTTGCAGGAAAAGCCCAGGAACAGAGCAGCCCTAAGGTCTTACCAGAGGATGAGATGGCTCCTGGAGCTGCAAGGAGCAGTGTCTGGGATACAGCACCGAGCACAGCCCAAGGGATGTGCAGAGACCCGCCTGGGACACGCTCTCTGGTTATGAGTATCCTGGAAGGCCAAACGAGGAGGATTAACTAACGCGTGTGTGTGGCTGTGCTGCTGGTTCATTCTTTTCTCTCAGTGCACCCAGGGATGAATTACAGAGAGTCTGAGGTTCTCACTTTCAGAATCCTTCAAAAATTGCTTTAACAAAGGGCCAAATCCTCTACCCACAAAAGTCCACAACAAAATTGCCACGAGGGAAAAAGCAGATCCCACTTTGTGCTTTCTCCGCTCTCCATGGGAATATTTTCTCTCTCATTAGAGCATTGCTTCCCTGCTGTCCAAGCTGATGCATTTTGTTTCGAAATGTGACCTTGGCAAGCTCTGATTTAGTTAATGCACCTTTGAAAATTTCACTGGAAATTCTCAAACTGAAATAGATAATAAAAACAATGTCTCAGTCTTGCTGGTATTTCTGATCGCTGTGAAGGGAGTTCAGAGTGTCACAGGTTTGAGACACAGTGAATAAACTGCTGGAAGCCTGGCTCCAAGGAAGCAGCTGCAGCATCCCCAAACCAGGATGACTTCATTGCATAACATTAGAAAGAGGTGAGTCCCTTCCAAATGGAAAAATGCTTCAGACTTTTTATTAATAAATACTAGCATAGTGCCACACTTGGGCCAACTGCACAGACTGAAGGGGAAAAGGCCTAGGCTAATCTTCTTCGTTAGCATCCCATTTTGCGATATATCCTAATCTGCAGATCTATGCTCATAAGCACATATGATATTTTGGAACACAATTCATTCGGTCTTCTGATTAACTTGGCATTTTGTAAGGTTTGCCCTCAGCCCAAGCTTGCATTGCCAATCAGTTGCAGAATGTAAATACAGGCAAAAAGAAGGAAAGAGGGCTACAATGAATAAATTGTGCATTATAGTGTTCTTTGGTAAAAATGAGTCCCAAGCACGTCAGAAAAGAGTAACTCTAATATACTCCAACAGCTGGTATGGTTTATTTCGGCTGTCAGCAAATGTTGTGCTGTTCAATCAAGCCACAGCAATCTGTGCTCCCGATGCTTTACTGAGGGCATGTGCCAGACAGGATTGCCAGGACCCTACCGACAAGGATGTCCCGCTGGAGACATGGCAATGCTGATGTTAATAAAACTGCCCCGCTTAGTCACAGGAAGGCTGCGATGCAGAGCCAACATCTTATGCAAAGGAAAGTTATTTAAGGAAAACAAGGAAAGGGCTTGGAACACAGGCTTCAGTGCAGATGGATCATCTAAGCAACACTTGGCTGCACAGTGATAAAAACAAGAACTGAAGAAAGACATCCAAAGATCTGAGCAAACAGTGGAAGACAACAACTGGTGATGGTATCCAGATGTGCAGTTAACACAGCCACGACAGGCAGAGCTGAGAACGCCATAAACACCTTTCTTGTTTCCACCTTGCAACTTACACTAATCAGTTCTCTGCCTCCCTTCCTAAACCCCTCCATTTATGCTCTGTACACTCACCTCCGTGGCTGTGCCTCCCACTCATCTCTCAGTTACTCTAAGCCCTCGTAAACCGATGCCATCAGCACTTTCGCTATTTGTCTTTACTCTCCTCTGCATTTGTTTCTGTTCAGAAGGGGCAACCAAATCGTCCTCTGAGTTGTGGTACTGCCAGAGGATTTCAGAACATAAAATGCACAAGATAGTAATGATAATATCTTAACAGTTTTTAAGTTAAATCATTATTAAAGCAAGACTAAATACAGCGGAATGGGTGTAAAGATTCAGTAGTCAGTTCCTCTGTAAGACACCTTAAATATCAGCTTACAGGGCTTTCCTCACAACACTTTGTACTCTGATGTTCCTAAGATTAACCAGTACCTATATTTTTAAGCCATTTAGTAATGCTTCTGGATTTTTTTTCTGGATTCTTACTGAAGATCGGCAATCGGAAAAGGTGGAAAATTGCTGGTAAAAATAGTGAGTGAAAAAATAAATAAATGCAGTGGTCCATTTAAACAGACTCAGAGACATTTTAAGTGTGTATTGACACAAAACATAGAAACCCAGATGTCTGATCACTACATTAACAGCATCCTGGTTTAAAATCAGCAGTGCCTGTAGGGGTAAAGGGCTTTATTTTCCTTTGTCTCACAATGCAGCAGAGAAAACTCGGTCTCGCTCACACTCCAAAACCCACTGTTCAATAGTTTACTCTCCTTGCAGCTTTTATGCAGTAACTGGCCACTTACAAGAGAAAAAGACACGTATTTTTTTGGAGCTACAGTTAATTTGTGCCAGGTACATACCCACAAATATAGTAAGGACACACCTGCACAGGGCTGCTGAGGAAAGCTCGGCTGAATTAAATGAAACTGTGCACCAAGTGGTGGTGGGCCAGATCACCATGTGGTTGTGCTCATCTACAGCTCCAGTGCCTGGTTCAGGAGAGGTTCAGTTACGTTGTCTAAATTTGCTGCATAAACAAAGCCCACACAAGAAGGGCTGCAGCCAACACAGTATTACACCACAGAGAATCTAAACCACCTGCTGCTTACTTCTGGAACAGTTTCTGCGTTTCTGGATGGCAAGGGCTGTATTTTTCATTTTAATGGATGATGCAGAGCATCAAAATAACCTGCAAATACAGGAGGGATTTCTAAAAATTGGGGAGAAGAGTAAACCTTAGTACAGTTTGCATCCACAGCATTCACCTGCAAAAATGCTTTTTGTTCACCAATCCTTATTGAGCCTTGGGGGAAACAATTGCATTTCCACCCAGCTAATTCTCTCTGTCCCTCTATTTATTTGCCAAAAATTGCCTGGAGAATATGGACAGCTCCAAAGAAATAATGATATATCTCCTCAGGAAAAAAGAAAGACTCCCTTGTCTCACAGCATTCCGGATCTCCTGTATCAAGTGCCAGAAGAAGAAAATCGCCACCATATTTCTGCTGCAACAACAGGAAAACCTTAGGTCACCGTGTTTTGCAAGCAGCAAAGTCATACAATCCTATAGCATGGTCAATCCCCAAAAAATCTACAGGTTGCAGTTCTGGCAGTAATACTCCCAGAGTAAGAGCTGCACTCTCCAGGTCACTGTCTGAAATGACACTGAAGGGACCAAACGTACTGCAAATAAAGTTATTTTCTTGCTTCAGGTTTAGCTATTTCTACACTTTGAAGAGAATCTGCACTTCTGGCTAGCCCTGTAGCCGTTGCTTTCCTTTTGTCAACCCATAAAAACTCTGATGAATTTACAAAGATCGTGTGAGTGAGCACTGCAGAACCATTCAAGTCCTGACAATAAAAACCTCAAGACAAGATGCTGCACGAAACGGAGAAAGGACAGTTCAGAGCAGTATTAACAGCTGATGACAGTGCATACTGGAAATGGAAATATTTGTATATTCCTTATAGCCTCCTTGCCCAAACGGTATATATTATGACTAACTCTTCAGTAAACCACAGAAAGTGAACCTGGTGGGACTTCAGCTTTGTTGCCAAGGTGATACGCATTGAAAAATACCTAAAATAATAGTTTGGATCAGTTTTCAATCTCCAGACAGCCCTAAATTTATATACACAGAAATGTAAAAACAACCCCTTTCCTTCCACCCCTCGAAGAAGTTGGTAAACTAAGTTTATTTGGCACAGGAAAACATTGGCATGGGAGAGCCTCCTCCGAGCCTAGCCATGGTGGCTCCATGGACTATTTCGGGTCTCTGTGTGAGGGGAAGCATACTTAATGGTATTTCCAGCAGATCCTTCCTAAGAGCCACAGCCAGCCACAAATCCAAAAAATTCAAACTGCCTTTGATCCCTCCAGCAGCTTTCCCCATAATTTAAAATGTGCATCTGATCTCAATAAGAACTCAGATCAACAGTCCTGGACACCAAGAATGGCATTATCTGTACAACTGGCAAGTAGGTTTTTGTATTCCTAAGTTAAAATTCCTATTAAATCGCTTTAACAACTTAGAACACCCAGGTGATTTGGGTGTTGTTCACTTTTTCCAGCTGTTTGTTTGCACTATGAGTCATGTCACCTCT